CTGCTTTGAGCTCACTGGGCGTCAGTGACTCAATAAGCAGTTTACACTTCTCTTTTTGACCGTGCTGACCTTCAAAACAGGTCACTAGACCGTGTTCTTCGATCAGTTCGTTGCAAAGCGTGAAGTACTGCAGCACGCGCTCGTTCACGTCTGTTTCAGACATGTTAAGACGCAGCTTCTTACCAAAAAGCATATCTATGTCGGGAAGTGTGTCGTTTATAACACGTTCGACAATCGCCTGAATTTCTGACGTAATTTGGTCATCGGTCACAGCGTTGGGCGCAATTCCGCCCCAGCGGTAGGTACAGAGAGCCTTCAACAGTCTTTCGTCGACGGTACTCTTAATTGTTTCCTTGAGCCGCTCGTAGAGTTCATCATCACCCTTGCTGCGAGCTTTCACGCTCTCTTCATACTCAGCTCGAGCTTTCTTCCACTTGATTAATGCAGAGTGGGACATGGACGACAGTCGGGGCGCGACCACCGGAATGAGCAACGGCACACCAACGGTGTTGATGTCACTGGCCAATGGAGCATCATCTTCAACTGTCTTGCCGCGACGGTCCGGTTTCTTCATCGTGTGAACGTGGGTTCACTAAAGTCGACTTTGTAGTACGTCCACGAGACGAAAACAGTAGACACAGTTAGGGAAGCTGGCACTTCCGAACGTTTAGCCGATTGTATTGCTTACTGAGTAGAAAGCAAAAGGTATAGTGACTAGACTACTCTGTTTCCCAAATCCTGTTATCGCTACAGCGAGCAGGACAGCCTCCTGGCACTGCCAGAGGCTCTAGCCTAGTAGTTGCAACTGCAACTGCAAGGACTGCCAGCTGGTAGTAAATGCAACTTGCATTCACTCCAAAGTGCAATGAGGGCAAGGCTTTCAACCTGAGCCCCACGCTACAATTCCCTCCCAAGCCTTGCTCACAACTTGCAAATAGGCAATATGGGTATTTTCAAGTTACTATATTGCAACGTCAGTTTGGTACACTGTACCACTATTTTGGGACACTGTACCATAATCCAAATTTCATTTTTCCGCATGCCTACAACCACACAGGTTGAGTCATGGATACACAAGCCACTGACCTTGTGCGTCTCACTACTTCAAAGCAACTGCCGAAATAGTAATGACTTTGCTCACACTGTGACTGCCAACTTGGCACATGAAGATCTCTAGCTCGAGGTCAGCTTCTGTAAAGCTGTCGCCAACTTAGCATCCTCGGCAGCTTCCACGTAGGTACGTATTAGCACGGGGATATCCTGTGCTAGAGACTTCAAAGGCTCCCATGAGTCCTAATATGGGCTCTAAGCCGCACCAACTCACTAGG